CTTGATTCCACACAGTACTTTTTTGGTACAAGTGGGGAATTTTCAGCATGGATATAGGTAGCTTAAATTTCGCAGGCCAACCATAGATATCAGGTGTGCGTCGGCAGGGGATCGAACCTCGGACCATGTGTATAGTCGGCGAGAGTCCTAACCACTGTACCACCGGTTCACCGCCTCCTTGTGTCTTCTGCCAATTTGTTGGTTTCCACCTGCTTGCCTTGCCTGCAAGTCTTTGAGTTTCTGTGATGTTACACATAAATCATCCACGGGCGACATTCAGATCTTGTAGAGTCTTCTTATTGGTCAGTGCAGCGTATTCCTCATAAAACCACCTCCCGCCATGCACAGTCAGTTTGACGCATAATTCAGTCCATCACAATTAGAAATATCATCATCGTCAGTGATAATAGGCAGCCGGTAACCGGCACTGTCTCACTCCTAAATTCACACTTAAAAGACTTCTTTGCTTAGTTTCAACTGTTGTGGATCACTTGACTCGTGGCAGACTTTGTCGTATAGCCAGCCAGTTGTTCAATAAGGTTGATGGGGATTCGGGCACTGCACAGCATAGTGTGGAAGTAGTTTCCAAATTACTTCACAGTGAACGTTGTTGTTTGTTGAAGACCTTTTCAAATTCGATGAAATTGAGTTCGATGTTTGACTGGCATTCTATGCATTAATAGGGATTCAGAAATATATTATTAAAATTGAAATTTATAAAAAAAAATGCTAATAAGTAGAATTAGTATCTCATATAATAAAGATTGACAGACTAAATTTGATCGTATCATCACAAGTTTCGAAAGAGTTTAGTTCACTGCGTTCACTTAAATGAATTAATAATAATAATAATAATAATGACAGACAGATACACTCATAAATGAAAATGTCTAACTAAAGTTCTTGTAGAAGAAAATTATGGGAATTTAGAAACAAAATCTGTAGAAAGGAACATTAAGGTTAAAAGTAAGTAACTAAGAGAGTATCTTAAAAGTGCAGTCAGAAAGCGAATTCAGCATAATAATAATTATTATCCAAGTGTTGGTTTGTAGGGATTTGATTGGTTTCAGGATTTCATCATGGGCTGACATTAGTTAGAGAACCACTGGAAAACCTAGGAGTACTGGACAGCTGTTTCGTCCTAGTTTGGGACTCTTCAGCAGTACGCACACACCGGGATTCGATCCCAGGACCTTCTGGTTACAAGGCGAGCTAGCTCGTAGACCATTGAGCCACTGGGACCCGATCCAATGGTCCTTGAATTCTAACTTCTGCCAATTCATGACATAGCGCGACCGCTAGCCAATGTCTTAGGCGAGTATTTGTCCTCACACCCGACCAGCTGCACCCTACTGGTCACGACTTCCCACTGGAACCCAGGTAACTACCTACTGGGTGTGAGGACAAATACTCGCCGAAGACATTGGCTAGCGGTCGCGCTATGTCATGAATTGGCAGAAGTTAGAATTCAAGGACCATTGGGTCGGGTCCCAGTGGCTCAATGGTCTACGAGCTAGCTCGCCTTGTAACCAGAAGGTCCTGGGTTCGAATCCCGGTGTGTGCGTACTGCTGAAGAGTCCCAAACTAGGACGAAACAGCTGTCCAGTACTCCTAGGTTTTCCAGTGGTTCTCTAACTAATGTCAGCTCATGATGAAATCCTGAAATAATTATTATTGTTTCCTTTACTTCTTAGAGGAGCATAGGGCTTCAGCCACCCACGTCTCCATTGCGTTCGGTTCTCCCACAACGTTCTCACCTAGTTCCACGTCTGCCCACTCTTGCACTGACACCCAGCTCGCCGCTTCCTCTTCAACAGGTCCCACTCTTGCGATGACCTGGTGTGCGATGTCACTCACTTGATCGTTTGTTTTCTCAGAGTATGGCCTTCAATCCACCTCGATTTCTTCTTGTATATTTGTTGCACAATCGGTTCCTGCTGGGTTTGCTCGCTGACTGTCAGAGATCCCTCCTGGTTGCTGATTTTTCTGGTCAGCCATCTGATCTTGAGCGAAGTATTGAGCGAAGACAGCTGTTGATGAAGGTCTGAAGTTTGTTCGAAGTGGCCTTCGTGACGCGGCTTGGCGTCAAGTCTCTGATCCGTATAGTAGCACTGACTTCATATTGGGATTGAAAATCCGGATCTTATTTTCATTTTCATGATGACTGCTTTTGATCTACTTCACACAGACCTGAGAGTAATAAAAGCTTGCCTCGCTTTCCCAATCATCGCTCCGATATATCCCCATCATTTCCGTCCACCTGTAGTTGAAACGATGCTTCCCAGGTCAATAGGTAGGTAGAGGAGGTTGCCTTTTTCAGATTTCTCCCATTTAGCTGGCTGATTGTCGTCTGTTGTTGTTGCTGTTGGTGTTGGCCGGGAATCTTCATCACCTATCTCTGTTTTCTCTTTGTTCACCTGAAGGAAGTCCTATCTTTGATGCTTCTTCAATCGCCAACTTGTTTCTTTTCACTTGCATATCTTCCAGTTAGTGGAAAATCAGATATATGTGACTGCCACGTTTGTATCCTTCACAAAGTATTCAAGAAGAAGCTGCCAGTTTTATAAATGTGATTAGAAAAACGTTAGAATCAAATTTCAAATGACTATAATTCCGGGAAAAGTGAAACTCTGAAGAAAACTCACTTTAAGTTTGCTCCTGACTTCGGTTTATTTTGTTCGAGCAGTAGAAGTATCATAACATGCGACTCTTTAACAACAAAACTTAAAATTTGGAAATTTTTCTCCTGTAAACATATACTACTGAAATTTATATATCAATAGAAAGCACTTGTTGATACAAAGTAGCTGAATGCACAGAAGAATGGATTGCGAACTATGAGATCTACGAAAAGAAATATAAATGCTCAACAAAATTCCTTATCAGCTCGGCATAATGCATTTCACAGTGTTATTTTCTTGTATATTTTCACCTCAATATTTGTTCGTATTTTTGTCATCACCACATCTCAGGTGATGTACACTGGAAAACTCAGCCAGGCGTTTCCATGTAAACACAAGAATAAGACAAGGCTGCCTGGCTGGCTGACTATTATAACCAATGGTATTTCTAGTTGTTATTATTATCATTTCCTTTTATTCCTGGAGGAACGTAGGGCTTCAGCCGACCACGTCTCCATTGCGTTCGGTTCCCTGCCAAAGTTTTCACCCCGCTCCAAGTCTGCCCACATGTTTCCATCTCCTCTTCACATGACCTCCTCCAAGTCACCCTTGCACTGATGACCAACTCGCCGCTTCCCTTTCGGGTTACACTCCAGCAATGGCTTGTCTAGTGATGTCACTTGATGGTTTGTTTCCTCAGCGTATGGCCAGCCAATCCATCTCCATTTCTTCCTGCCTATTTGTTGCGCAATCGGTTCTTGGTTAATTCTCTCCTTGTGATCCCTATCGCTAATCTTTTCTGGCCATCTGATCTTGAGTATTATTGAGCAGAGACAGTTGTTGATGAAGGTTTGTGGTTTGTCTGAGGTGCTCTTTATGACGTGCCAAGTCCCTGATCCGTATAGTAGCACTGACTTCACATTGGAGTTGAAAATCCGGATCTTATTTTTGATGCTGAGTGCTGCTGATCTCCTTCACACAGACTTGAGAGTAATGAAAGCTTGTCTAGCTTTTCCGATCCTTGCTTTGATGTCCCTGTCAGTTCCGCCTGTAGTTGAAACAATGCTACCCAGGTAGGTAAAGGAGGTTGCCTTTTTCAGATTTCTCCCATTTATGTTGATTGTTGTCTGTTGTTGTTGCTGTTGGTGTTGGCCGGGAATCTTCATCACCTATCTCTGTTTTCTCTATGTTTACCTGAAGGATGTCCTATCTTTGATACTTCTTCTGTCAACTTGTGTCTTTTCACTTGCATATCTTCCATTTAGTGGGAAATCAGACATATATCATGGGCGAAGTCCAGATCCTCCAATTTTTTATGTGGGTCATTCCTAGTTGTGATGGACTGGATTATGCGTGGGGAGTGAGAAGACAGGAATATACTGGACTGATCAAAGAGAAGACTCTAAGAGATCTTGATTTCGCTTCTGGATGGCTTATGTTTAATGTCACACAGACTCGAAGACTTGTTGGCAGGAAGGAAAAGACCAACAAACTGGCAGAAGAGACTAACATCTAGTGAAGACAGTATCGCAAAAGAACATGGAGTAGACGGAGGCGATGAAGATAACCAACCAGCCAATAGCAACAAGGACTAGCACCAGTCATTATCAATTGAGAGATGTGTAAAAGGTTATTTCCTTCACTTATCTGGCTAGGAAGCATTGTTTCAACCAAAAGTGACAGAATGGATGAAGATGTTAGAGTCAGATGCAGCTTCATCAATCTGAAACCAGTTTGGAAATCTTCCACACTGAGCATAAACAACAAAATTGGGATGCCCAAGTCAGTCAGTCAGTCAGTCATTTATTCTATATGAGTCAGAGGCATGGCTTTTGTATCACGGGAGGAAAATCCGACGGGCAATAGCCACCCATTTCACTGCCTCCATATATTGAAGATCGAATGGCCGGTCGGCTGGCTATATTCTGAATTTGAGCTTCTCAATAGGCACGAGGAAATACTTACTAGGTGACTGACTTCATTTAACAGTTAACAATATAACCTATGATATAATTCATCTTAAGTCTACATCCAACATGTGCAATAAGAATGACTCATCACTCATTCCGGAAATATGGAAAATACTACTACAAATCATCAAGTCAAGCGATGAAAAATATTGGAACCATCATATATAAGAAATTAGAAAGTTGTGTAAGTAACTTGGTATGATTATGAGCAGTAATAAGAATTGTGTTCGAACCGTAGTCATCATTAGTAAATATTACTGTATAACAGACACTGTGAAACGTTATCAAAATAAAATTTTACCCATAATGGCATTACACTTAACCTTATAAAAAAAGCAGGATTCATATATCTACACCCGAATAACCTATTTAATTATGTTATTTATTTATTTATTTTTTAAATATTTAGAGGAATGCTGACAAAGCACCATATTATTTACCATCTTCACAATTGAATGTAAGAAGAAGTTCATATAATCGATTTACGGATATGCGTAATGGAGATAAATCGATGAAACTGAATACAAATGAACGTTCATCAAATGGTCATGTAAGTTGCTAAATCAGTTCTAGTGGGAAGCCGTGACCAGTAGGGTACAGCAGGTCGAAGATGAGGCAGTAACTCATCGAAGAAGACATTGCGAAGTGGTCAAGCTATGTCGTGAATTGGCAGAAGTTAGAATTCAAGAACCACTGGATCGGGTCCCAGTGGCTCAATGGTCTACGAGCTAGCTCGCCTTGTAACCAGAAGGTCCTGGGTTCGAACCCCAGTGGGTGCGTACTGCTGAGGAGTCCCAAACTAGGACGAAACAGATGTCCAGTACTCCCTGCAGGTTTTCCAGTGGTTCTCTAACTGATGTCAGCTCATGATTAAATCCTCCATACAATCAAACCAAATCCCTACAAAACCAACACTTGGAAAATAAATCATTTTTCTTTCATTAAATATCATGAAAATTAATCATTTAATTAGTTGATTAATTAATATAAAAGATTGACTTATCACTAGGATATAACCGCGTTCCTCAGTGAGTGAGTGAGCGAATGAGTGATGATGTTCTCAACATCGGAACTAGGAGCCGTCATGTCAACCTAAGACCGAGCACTGAAGTCCAATCAATCGAAAGGAAAATTTGAAATTGAGTGCGAATAACTAATAAGACCCGTTGTACAAGACGCAGTGGGTCTTGTGGCCCAAGTGGTCTTTTGGATAACGCTTTAACGTTTGAAACTATGCGCAGTGGGTTCGAGTCCTGGTGGGAACACTATTATTGACTCACTGGGGAATACAGGTACATCCTCTAGCTGACGAGTCCCGAATAGGACGAAATGCGCCTTATCCTCGATTCCACTGCTAGTCACCATACACCAATTAAATTTCTGGATGAGTGTACTTCTATTGATCAAATATTCACTAGTTATACCTTGTGTAAATCCTTCTCAATGAAGTACGTGATGAAACTCAACTTGTTTCTCACTTTATATTACTATTAATTAACTTATAAAAATTATATATCCACACAGAAACAAAAAGAATACATAAATTGCTATAGACTTAGAATGAAGGCGAATGTAAGTGCACTTAAGTAGTTTCATAGATGTTTGTTTTTCTCTGTGTTCATATGCGTGTGTGTGCGCGTGTGTGTGTATCTCTGTAGAATTTCTTAGTCAATCTGAGTATTTCACTGAAGGCATGCTGACAAAGGTACTTCACTTTTGTAGATTTTGTGTGTGTGTGTGTAGTTTTATTAGTGAACTTTTCTTTTTCCTTCACAATTAGAATTTAGTTAACAAAACGTTTTTTTTTTTGAAATTTTGTCTCGATAAGTGGGAAAAGAAACTTAGTCAACTGTCTTCTTATAAGAATTGTACGCATGCCTAGCCAACCATTGTCTTCCTCGCTCGACGGTCAATGTTAGCTGACATAGAGTCAGGCTGGAAAAGAGTTAGCTAAAGGTGGTCAAACCAAAACACGGCTTCATCACTCAATGAAATCCACAACAGTTAGTTTAAGCCAGCCAGCCACCCACGTAGGAAGGTGTAGATTTCTTGGTTGGGGTCGTCGGGACGGTAAACATCAATCACCGGCTGGAGACAATCGGTGATATGGATAGCTCAAAATCGTCGTTCTCAGTGATGGCTAGTGCAGATGCATCCACTCCTTGTGACTTATAATTTCCATTGAAACTATATTGTTCTTTGTTCGATATTACTATTCCTTTTGTCTTATATCCTTGTCTATTGTCTCTATTATGCACTTCTTCTACTTTCTTCTCTTGCTTTGTGTGCTACAAGGAGGGAGGGAGGGAGTGTGGCGACTTGACCTGCTGTACATTGATGCAAAGTTCTATGTTAAAAACAGACAGACAAGAATTGTTAGAGAACTAAAATTCTTCCTTATGATTCCAGTTGAGTATGTTGAGAGTTCACACTCTAAATGTATTTATGGAGAGGGAAAACTCCAAATTCAATTTCCACTTGCTTTGTAGAAAAATAAATATCTATCTACGCGGTATTATTAATAATAATTTGCTTTTATTCCAAAACAGTACTTGTGATACAGAATGGAATTCTCAGCATTTCACTACAGTATATAGCATCCACTACGTACATTAACAGTAAATAAAATTCTACATACATTATGGGTTATCTCAGTTAGTTTTGACAACAACATACTAGCGCATATCGGTAGCAAAGCCAAAATTGAACAGAATATTTGAAGGTGTTAAAAAGTAGATACTAACTAGCATATTTACTGGCGTAAGCGGTAACAAAAAGGTCGAGATATACAAAGTATGAAAGAACGAAGAAGAATGTTTTAAGTAGAGTTTGTAAGGAAGAGAGAAAAAAACAGTTCACAACAAAAACAAAAAAGAGAGAGAAAAGGAAAAGAAAGAAAACGTTGTATCTATAAATGATATGAGTTGGAAAGACAAGATCCACTTGTTTTACTGACTATTTAATAAGTTATAAGTTTCACGCCTGATGCTTTCTTTATCGCACAGAACACGAGCTAAGTAGGGTATGGTTGAGTTTTTGTACTTTCTAGTGCGAGCATATAGTTTTGTATATAGGCTTCTGGTCCTGCCTGATGAGATACAAGTGGAGAGTTGTGAATGAAGAGGGTGGTGTGAGTTAGACAGATAGAATAGATTTAGCCCATTTTTCACATGAGTCCAAGTGCTTGTCGACCAGAATATTAACAAGCTGGTTAAGTGGCACCCTGTGGCTTATCCTGCTGACAATCTTTAACATCCTGCGTAATAAGGCATCGTTTCAACCGCAGTCGACAGCACCACGGATAAAGATGTCGAAGACATTCGGAATCGGAAAGGCGAGATACACTTTCATCAATCTGCAGTCAGTTTGAAAATCTTCTGCACTCACTCAGACAGCATGAAGAAGAAGAAGATTCGGATATTCTGTTCAACACCAATATCAAGTCAGTCAGTCAGGTAGTCAGTTCTTCTATATGGGTCAGAAACTTGGCGGGCAATTCGCGAGAAGCTTTTCCAGCATATTCCACTGCAAACGTTTATCAACAGCTGCCTACTTCACCGTCTCCATTTTCAAGATCAAATGGCCAGAAAAAAAAATCAGCAGCAAGAAACTCTGGCTTGGAACAAATCAACCTAGAGCCTGTCACTCAACAAATATTTATGAGAAAACAGCGATGGATAGGGTATACAATGAGGAAACCGTGGAATGGCATCACGGGTAGGTTACCACCGTAGTGGAGTCTCAATGGGAAGTGACGAGTGGGTCGTCAGGGCGAGGGTAACATGGAGACGATCGTGTGGCTAGGAGCAGATGAGATATTGTGGAGAATTGTGGGGTCAGCTGACTGGAGAGGATGGCCGAAAATAGAAGAATGTGCAGATATATTGCTGAAGCCAGCCCTATGTTCCACTTGGAACCCAATGGAATAATAATAATAATAATATGGCTTTTAGGTGGAAAATGAGCTTCAGGGTTTCCTAGGGAATTGAGATCAGTTAGAGAACAATTGGGAAGCCATTAGGGAGTACTATCAGACAAATAACTGTTTCGTCAGCCTAGTTCGCGACTGACTCTTCAGCAGGACTCATCCACCACTGCCGGTTTGAACCCAGGATATTCTGGTTACAAGGGAAGCTAGCTCGTATACCATTCAGCCACTGGGACCAAACTTCTCAATGGCCAGCCCATGAATTCTAACTTCTACTAATTCGTGATTTACAGCGACTGACACCAACTAATGTCAACGATGGGACATCCGTCCTCACACTTGACTAGATCGACCTCACTGGTAACCACTTCTCACTAGAACTCCAGGAAAATCCGTCCTATAGCAAGTCACTAGCGAGCATTAGATTAATTTTCAATAGTTGGTTTGTAAGGATTGAATCTGTTTTTACAAGCTTGAGGACGGATTGATATCAGTTACAGAAGCATTGTAAACCAGAGATTACTAGACATCTATCTCATCCTAGGTTGGGAATCATCTGCTGTAAGTAGCCACTACGGTTCGAATACATGTAGTTAAATAAAGAAATTGGCAATGATTATACAACAGAGAAGATTTGTAGCTCATGTGGATGGGTAGTTTGAGTGCGGAGATTTCGTCACCCCCTTCTAGACAACATCTCCTTTCAGTGCAAGTCTTAGCATAAAATGAACTGGTTTAAATTTCCTCCCCATGAATGATGGTAGAATTGTCTCCTAGTAACCATCTTCGTGACTTGTGGTAGTCGATTTACATATGTACTGATTATTGATTTGGAATTTAAACTTTCTCGTAATGTGATTTACTTTTATTAGTTGGTGGTAAATTTGGTCTATAGTAATTGCTGTGTTTGTTAATCGCTGGCTGATTCACTTAAATACGAGGATTCCAGAAATTTTCTGACAGCACTTTTGATCTTTCCTATATTTAAAATTTCAACATTATGCCGATCATCAAAATGGTGTTCATAATTATCCACATGCATCGATACTAAAGAATATACACACCATGTCTTTTTTACAACCAATTTGTGTTCTTGGATTCTGATTCGATGGGGACGCTCACTTTGACCACCAAGGATGTAATGTTTATTGCAGTTCATGCATGGGATTTATTTTGTAAATGGTATTAATTTTATCTTCTTCTTGTGTTGTGTCTTTTGATTCGCACAATATCAAATGAAGTGACCGGCTGGCTGACTGACTTGTGTGCTATATCTACTTGAAATGGTCTTAGTATTCCAGCTGTTATTTCAGAGATATTTTTCATAGATTTTCTTGTAGTGTTTTATGATGGTATCTTGTTGGCGTTTTGACTCTTATTTTAAGCACATTTTGATGGAGTTGTAAGGATATGCATTGTTCTTGAAGACAGTTAGAAGGTATTATTCCTCCATTCTCTTCAACAAACACCGGAGTATTACTAAAGTATGTTTGAACTCTTTTAAACAATGTCTCCACATAGTTTTGTTCCTGTGTGTATTTGGGTTATTGCTACTATATTTGAGTTTTGCAATGATTGCATCTCTGTAATGATAAAATTGTTCAATTTTTTTCTTGTTTTATATCATATCAATAGCTGGATATACTACCGCCAGTCAACGGGAAATTGAGAGAGTCAAGTTCAACTGAAACGGCAAGACAAAAGATGAGAAGAGTAGAGGTTTGTCTGTTTTGTGTCATGCGCATACATATACATATATATATGTATCTTTTCAGTGTGTATGGTGTCTGATTGTAGACGTCTCATCAACAGGCATGGTGACACCTACAGAGCTTACCTCATTAGGAATTGAGACTTGTCTGCCGGTTGCATAACTATTATTATTGTTTCCTTAAATTCCTAGAGGAATATAGAGCTACAGTCACCCACGTCTCCATTGCGTTCAGTTCTCCCACAACGTTTTCATCACCTGGCTCCACGTCTGCCTACATGCTTTGATCTCCTGCTCATATGACCCCCTCCTACATGTCACCTTCACACTGACGAGCAACTCACTGCCTCCCATTTGGATTCCAATCAAGTGATGGCCTAGTGCGTGATGTCACTCACTTGATGGTTTGTTTTCTCAGAGTATGGCCGATCCACCTCCACCTCTTATTGTATATTTGTTGCACGGTTGGTTTCTGTCGGGTTGGTTCGCTCCCTATGGCTGATCTTTTCTGACCGGCTATCTGATCTTGAGTAGTACTGAGCAAAGACAGCTGTTGATGAAGGTGTGTAGTTTCTTCGAAGTGCTTTTCATGACGTGGCCTCAAGTTTCTGATCCGTATAGTAGCACTGACTGACTTCACATTAGAGCTGAAAATCCGGACCTTATTTTTCACGCCGATTGGTGCCGTTGATCCCCCTCACACAGACTTGGGAGTAATGAAAGTTTGCTTTGCTTTTTTGATCCTCGCTACGATATATCCTCATCATTTTCGACCGCCTGTAGTTGAAACGATGCTTCCTAGGTAGGTCGGTAAACCGGAAGGTAAAGGAGGTTGCTTCTTTAAGATTTCTCACATTTATGTTGATTATGTTTTCGTTACCTTTTGACTCTGCAGCATTTTATTGCGTAATTGTTTTTATTGGTCTCTTTGGTACATTCTTTCAGTTGGTTTATGAATGATCTTTCTTATTCTTCTTCATATGTGAGTTATTTCCATATGCCGCTTAAGTGAAGTTTCATTTGAATGAATACTCAAGCGTCCGAAAACTTTCTAGCCGATGATGAAACCTTCATTTTACTAAATACAAAAGAGACGAAATTATAAAAGAAAAGGCATTCATCCAAGAGTTACACTCCTCTTATCGATGATATCATTATCAGGCTGTACAACCGCATATATCCATAAACAGTAAATTGTCTCAACTGCAAAAGAAATATTTCCTAAGATTTGTCGTTGTTTTCCTTCACGTTCCCCAGTGGAACATAGGGCTCCAAGCTATTGAACTGAAGTTTCTGTAGCAGTGATTATTTTACAGGATGGGGTTACCAGCCTCATGCCTAAACTTTCCTCTTTACCAGAATTAATTCTGGCTTAGTGAGGTGAAGGATTGCGTAGGCCGGTGATCGAACCCCTAGCCATGTGCATGGTCAGCGAGCGTTCTAATCGCTTTGCCACAATTGTAAATTTTAGATAACAAATTTCGTGAGGTAACCTAATCGACAGGGTTGACTAAAGCTCAACTAAAATTAAAACTGAACAGAAGTCAAGTTAACAACATTAATAATAAAGAGTAGAGATCTAATGAGGTTTGAGTGGGAGAAAGTATCATACAATTTAGAAACAAACAAGCAAGAAAAACACAGAACAACCATCACGTATTTGATGTTTACATAGATCGAGTCCACTGTAGATTTAATGACTGAACAAACTTCTTTTGTATACAGACTTCAGGATTTATCAACATATGAATTGACATTGCTTCTGTCTTGTTTGAAGAAGTTTGATTCGTACTCTCTTAGCGAGATTCCCACGTATTCTGCTGATAACTTTAAAGTTCGTTTGTGGGTTAGCTTGGTGTCCAGGTTAGATAAGATCTTCCAGGAAACAGCTGTGGTGGTGGTGGTGCTGGAGAGCCATCTGTTTTCTGCTTTATAAAGCCATAACTGTGAGTAAGTGTTCGATAATACGTTTGGACAGCAAACTGTGGGTACAGCCGACATAATCAGCTAGTTCTACACGAGCAGATGAATCGATAGATGCACATTGATGGGGCTAGCCAACAGTGGCAGCTTATCCTTCACGTTCTTGCGAATCATTGGTTTCGTAGAAAAGATTAATCGGAGTTCAGCCGCGAAGAAGACTGTCTTCAGTGATGGGAACAGACGCTTTCTCAGAATTACTGCCGTTAAGTTTCCACTGAACTGTAAATCCAGGTAGAGGAGCTTTTTAGAAGTAGAAATTTTGGATGGTTTAGGTTTCATAGATTTTATCATGAAATGTTCTAGATAGCCATTTTCGAGGAGGATACTCCCCAGAGTGTTAAGCTCCTCTTAGATATAGTGTTAGGGATAAAAATGCTTCACGAAATTATAGTTTAACGCTTTGCAGTTTGCAATTAATTCCTGTAACCGATTTCAATATGTGATGCAAAGACAACTTTCAGGAAAAATTAACTGAGCTTTAGTTTTTGCCAAACATAATCACTTTATAATGTATTTTATAATAATTTAACCTTCAAATATATATTGAATTTATAATAGGAACGTTTGGAAGGTATTTTAGACTATGAATTACCAAGTGCTGAAAGTTTCAAGAATATGCGTCATTCATTAAGAGACATTCATGATAAAATGTCAAAGCATCGATTAATTCTGGATCGTTATAGTTCACTCGACTCAGGGGACAATGATAATGACAACCGTAAAGTATCTGAGAGAATCGACGAGAAATACAGAGAATTAGAAGAGAGGTAAGTATGTATGCTTTTAAGTTTGTTTCCAAATTATTTAATAATAATATTAATAGCTTTATTCTAAACGGTATTTGTGGTACAGGTATGGAATTTTCAGCGTGCATTACAATATATGTTGCATCTAATTACCTCATAAATTTTATAAGACTTTTAAAATCAAAAAGCAACAACCAAAAACAAAATAGATAAATAAAAAGAAATGTAAAAAGAACAGCGTTGCGTTTACATTATTAAACAATGCACCACAGGATATGAAATATAAGTCGATGTGTGATAGAAGATGAGAACAACAGTGTAATAGTAACGAAGAAAGGAAAACAAAAACTAGTGAGACTATTTGTTAGAGTGCCGCAGTAAGTTTATCGTGTCATATCTAACGGATTTCTCATGACATAACAGCTGTGCCAAATATGGTATTGTGGAGTTTCTCTACTTGGTAGTCCTGGCACTTAGCCTCCTATAGCTGCTTCTAGTTCTACCAGATGAAATGCAAGGAGACAGCTGCGTATAGAGAGGATGCTCGGGGTCTGACAATATTGTATTCGCTAGTTTCTTACATGACATTATTTGTCTATCCACAATAGTGTTAACCAGTTGGTTTAACGATATCTCACTTGCCCTACTAACGGCTTTTAGTGCCCTTCTCAGCAAAGCAAAGTCTTTCTTAAATAGTCCAGGAAAGATTAATGGGGAGCAGTAAAGATGGATGGGTAGAATACAAGAATTGACAAACTGAGATAGCAAAGACTACTTTATACCAGACTGCCTTAACTTCCTAACGTAGAACGTTAAGTGAAACATCTTTCTAGTAACTAGGAAGATGTGGAAGGACCAGGAAAGATCGGTGGAAAAACTCAGCCCAAGGTACTTGACATTAGATGTAATTTCAATCTCAATGCCGTCAATGTTAGTGGGGCCAATACCACCGACAGCAACAACAACAGACAACAATCAGTCAGCATAAATGGGAGGAACCTGAAAGAAACAACCTCCTTTACCTACCTGGGAGGCATCGTTCCAACTACAAGCGGACGGAACTGATTAGGATACCAAAGCAAGGATCGAGAAAGCAAGACAAACTTTCATTACTCTCAAGTCTGTGTGAAGGAGATCAACAGCACTCATCATGAAAATGAAAATAAGATCCGGATTTCCAATTCCAATATGAAGTCAATGCTACTATTCGGATGAGAGACTTGACGTGGCGCCGCGTCACGAAGGCCGCTTCGAACAAACTGCAAACTTTCATCAACAGCTGTCTTCGTTCAATACTACTAAAGATTAGATGGATGACCAGACCAATGGGGTGGGATCTCTGGCAATCAGCGAATGGAATAGAATTTTCGGAGTTACGTAATCAAGTGAAACAGAGGATGAAAACATCCACTTACCCTGTAGGGCAAGGAAGGACTGGTAAACGCCTCATTCTGAACATATAAATCGCATTTCAGGTGCTTGATTGCGATTGTTTCGGCAAACTTGTACAGAATTCAACTCTTCTGCCTATTGATAGTTTTGAATGAACTTGTGACGTCCACCTCATGACACTGTTCAAAGCATTTGTTCCCCGCTAGCTACTTAAGCTCTTTGGTACATGTTCAGAAAATTCTCTCAGTATAACTGCTCCCACAGATGCACGTGAATTTCTATACCTAGTTTGAGTTAACATGAGAAGGGTATCTATTAACTTTTGATTGCACCATAGAGAATGTTGTCCGAAAAATGGGAACCAACTTGGCTACCTGAAGAATAGGGTGTGGCTAGCGACGTATTCAACCTTCTATTTATTATTCCTGCGAAATATTTTCACCTTTAAAATCAAGTTGAATGAAGATAGGCCTGTTTCCTACTGTGATTTTTTTGGCACCAGAGCCTCCACGTCTTTAATACTTGTTTGAAACAAGTCTGTGAGGATAACCGTTGTTTTTAAACATCCTTTCGAGAATCATAAATTCTTTCTGTAACTTGTCCTTAGAGTATATTCTGCTGTCTGTCTCCATATTATTATTATTGCTCCCTTGGGTTCCTAGTGGAACATAGGGCTTCAACTGCACGTCTCCACTTGCCACTTCTGTCTTCCTCTGTACTGTACTTTTCACCTGCATCCATGTTGTTAGTCCATACTCTTTCAACTCCTCTTAACACGATCTCCTCTATGTCACCCTTGCACTGACATCCCACTCGCCTCTTCCCTTTCGGGTTCCACTCGAGCACTGGCTTGACGCTGGCGCAATGTCACCCGCGGTCTCCTCAGCCGAGTGTCCAATATGTCATCTCCACTTTCTCCTGCATATTTGTTGGGCGGTTGGTTTGTTCTTGTTTTGTTTGTTCCCATAGTTTCTTGTTGGTGGTGGTTATTTCCGGCCCGGCCATCTGATTGATCTTAAGTATAGATCAAGCGAATACAGTTATTGGTTGATAAAGGTCTGGAACAGGCTGTTGGAAATATTCTTTGTGACTCGCCCGCCAAGTTTCTCATCCGTATAGAAGAACTGACTGACTTGACGTTGTTTGTATTGAAAAATCCTACCGAATTTTGTTGTTGATGCTGAGTGACGAAGATTTCCAGATTGGTTTCAGGTTGATGAATGTGTTTCTCGCTCGCCTTCCCGATTCTCACTCGATTTGACATCCTCGTCCGTTCCTACTGCCTGTAGTTGAGACAATGCTCCCTAGATATTTAGTGAATGAAGTGACCTCTTTCAAATCCCTCCCGTTGAAGTTGATTGGCGCTAACTGTCTCCATAGAACAGTGTTTTTCATATTAGTTTGTTTATTAGATGTATCACACAGTCAGTGAAACAGTATTACTGTTTACTGGATGACACACTTTCAAACAAAATTTATTCTTCATAATCATTTCATCAATTATAATCACACGACTTCAAAACTTGAGTTTTATAGTTTTCTTTGTCTTCTCCTATTTGTCGTCTTTGGCGTAGTAGAATCTTCCAGATATCCGACTGGACAGGCGTTGAATCATTCCAATCACGTGTTGATTTGCAGTTGATTCGATAAACAAAGCTTCTGTTATCGATCTCTCCTTCCACGCTGTCAGTTACATTAGATTTTAAAACTGTCATCCTATCCCATCCATCCTTCTGTATGGTTGTGTGTAATTGCATGTGGTGAGTGGTATAGCTGAACTATTCTCTAGATTTCTTATCTTATTTGGGTCAACCAATCTAGATTTCGCTGCTAGGTTTTTATGTTCGGCTAGTCTGACTGCCCCTGTCCTACTAGTTTGACCTATGTATTTGACCTGACAATCATTCCCGTAGGATATCAGATAAACTAAATTGTTTTGTTTTCAAGGCTCCACAGGATTGATCCTTCAACCGACAAAGCTTGTTTCTAATTGAGTTTGTGGGTGGTTTGGATTCCAGCCAGTTTTATTCCTGCCTGCCATGTTAAGAATTCTGAGTAAGGTTTCCGACGTTCGTTCTTTGTATGGAATTACTACTGATGACTTAGATTCCTTATTGTTGGTGTCGTCATTAATATTATTATTATCGCTATCGCTACTATCATTATTTATTTTATTTCTAGATTTCTTCACATATTTCCTGACTAACCTATCCGGGTAATTATTAGGTTTCAAGGCTTCTCTTATGTGTATCACTTCCTGTCTTACATTTTCCTTAGTACTACTTAGTTTTTGTGCTCTGTCACTTAAACATGTCACCAATCCAATTTTTACTGATATATGATTGGATGATCGGAAGTCCAAATAGTAATAAATGATACTGTTTCACTCACCGTGTGATACATCCAATAAACAAACTAATATGGAATTACTTACTACCACAGTGATCAAGTTTTACACATATATTAACAGAGTTTTTATTAGTGTTCGTTTATAGGCATTTGGATAAAGACTATTAAAATACAAGTATTGCCCATTCATTCATTGTGGGCTTTCTGTAAACTGACATCTGAAGACTACCACATTCCAGGGCGCTGCTGTGACTTCAATCACTAATCAATTTTTTTCCCTAACCTACAAAAATAACCATTCCATAAATGATACTATCTAATTCGAACTAGTGTGTTATACAGAAAAGAAAATTAATCAATCGGTGGAACTTCCTTTGATCTTATAATAACTGACCTGAAATGACCTGAAAGTATTTTTAACACTAAAGCGCTAGGTGTATATTATAGATTACTAAACAAAAAAAAATTTTTACGCTGTCAAATGAGTGAATTTCTGACATTTAACCACACACACACACACACACAGGGAGAGAAACAAGAAAAATGAACAACCAATCAGTGATTGATTAAAACTGTTTTGTTTCAAAAATAAGAAATCTCATCATTTTATGCATTTTCTAATTGTATTCAATAGTTGGAGGCAGTCGGCCACAGGAAGCTTTCCCAGAACTTAACTAGGTAGGTTTCGTGCTAGTTGGCACTCACCACCAGTCAGTCAGCACAGCAAGGCGGTGTATATCTACAACCCGTTGAAGGGAGGAATTCATATCCCTTCTGAGATTCGAACCCGTGTCATCCATTGCTGCAAGCACAGACTACACAGGTTCACACACGTTACACTAGTTAATGACTAGTGTCCAATCAATAATATCCAGTATAGTGCTACAGGAGGTGGCCAATCGAGAGCCTGTGGCAACAATAACAGCAACCAGTACCAGTCAACATAAACAGGTTTCCTCCTTCAGTTATCTGGGAAGCATAGTTTCAACTACAACTAGTCGATTGATGCTTCTATAAGGGTCAGAAACTTGGCCAGCATGTCACGAAAAATATTTCCAACAGGTTGTAGAGTTTCATCAACAACAAATGCCCACTTCGCTGGCTGGCTCCATACTGAAAATCAAATGGCCAGAAACAAAGCAACCAGGAGCATGTTAATGGGTACATATTGCTACTTACTTACTAAACAAGTTCTAGATGACAGAATCACAAAGGTAACATGTCATCTCAAATTCTGTCTTGATGTTTGGTGCCCAAAAGATACTCATCTTAAGATTTGG